CTCTCTCTACCTCTACCCCTCTCTCTACCTCTACCTCTCTACCTCTACCTCTCTACCTCTACCTCTACCTCTCTACCTCTACCCCTCTACCTCTCTACCTCTACCTCTCTCTACCTCTACACCTCTACACCTACCTCTACCTCTACACCTCTACACCTACCTCTACACCTCTACACCTACCTCTACACCTCTACACCTACCTCTACCTCTCTCACTTTTTCTTTCCAGATGGTAAATCTTAATATCTAAACATTTTGAGGATTTCCTCTTTAAAATTACATAGATAATTCCTTATTAGAATAACCTAAAATTAGGATACAGACCAAATATCAATGAGCTCTCCTGATTAGGAAGACAAAATGTAGCTTAAAATTCAGGAATTTGAAAATATGCTGAGGTCATTTTGACCAAATTTGACTTAATCCTCAGTTTAATGGGGCGGCTGTGGCAGAGTGGTTAGGGGAGTCGTCCTGGAACTGGAAAGTCACCAGTTCGATCCCCCGTTCCAGCTGTCTCAGTTGTTGTGTCTTTGGGCAAGACACTTCACCCCTAATGCCTTTGATGTGTGTCCCATCAGTGTATGAATGTGATTGGCACTGATTAGTCTCCATAGTTGATTGTACATGTTAGCTTTGTAGAGACCTAATAGAGTGCTGTGTGAATGGGTAAATGAGGACACAGATTGTAGTGTGAAGCGCTTTGAGTGTCCTGCATCGATAGAAAAGCGCTATATAAGTACAGTCCATTTACCATTTTACCATTTAATTTGATGGGTTACATATATGAATGTTTGATCAGAACAAACTTTGAAGTGTAAACCTGAATATATAAATATAAATAAAAACATGTTTCTAAATTTATGTTTAAAAAAAAGCTGTAGCTCTCAGAGTTGCTGGATGTTTTTGTGGCACCCTCTGGTGTAGGTTCAATATTTACCTCCAAGAAGCCTGTGTAGGCCCGGACAGGCAGGTGAAACTTTGAGGCGTTTGTGAGGAGCAGGATGTTGCTGTCTATGTGAATGGAAGGCCGGATGGCCCTGAAGAGGAGAGAGAAAATGTACCGGGACTCGTGTGCAGGGATGAGGATGGGCGTGCTGAAGTTCTGCACCTACAAGAGGAAAGTAAGTAACAAAAAAATGAAACAATGTATGTGATGCTGCTGTTTGACATATGCTAACATTGTTCTAACACTCACTTTAAACATAGTTTTGGCTTCCTCGGGCAGAGACACGTTGTGTATGTAAATATCAAAGTTGAAGGCATTTGTGAGGAAGATGGGTCTGTCCACCGGCTCCACAGGGCTGTCTCTGATGTGGAACAGTGTGGCGGTGTGGTCAAAGCCCAGGTAGCTGCCAGAAGAAAACAATACAGTGAAGACTTTAATTCTGTTAAAACCCATTGGTTTTCATTATTCCATTGTACAGAAAGTTACCAAATTCTATATTTCTGTTGCCTTACAATCTGGGATTCAAACAGACTTCTTTGGATTACAAGTAATAAAACTACAAAAATACTCCAGATTAATGTGGTAAAATGGGAAAAAAAATATGTGACTCATCATATTGAAATGAAGATTAAGTCAAATTTGGTCAAAATGATCTAATTACATTTTCAGATTCCTGGCTTTAAAAGCTGCATTTTGATACCTGGATCATTCTGAGATCCTAAGCAGATCCAGAGATATGACTTAATTTGTCTTGTTGGTTATGATATTACATTACTGTTTGGTCTGAATCCTCATTTTATGTTAATTTATTGATTAATGTTTTATGTCAATATAAAGAGGAATCCTCAAATAGTATTTGTATATTAAGATTTCCCAGTTGGAAAGAAACAAAAACTTTGCTAGCTCGCAGGAAAAAATTCAAAGTTTTAAGGCATTTTTCCTCAAAATTAGGTTTTTTGTTGCTACTGCTTAAATAATGCTTCAAAAATGATTTTTATGATTATATTTCAGACAGTTCATTGAAATGATACATTGAACAGGCATTAATTCATTATATTTTGACAAAATGCAATTTTTTTGCACACGTTTAAATCAAAACCCTGTATCTGCCTATTTCTCCATATTCCACTTTTGGACTTAATCCTTGTTTCAATGTGATGGGTCACATATATAAAAAATGAAAAAAGCTGTGTGCATATGTTTTCACTCTTCTAATACTTCACAGAACCTCATTTTGCAGCAGTGTTAACCTCCTAAAACCCAAACTCTTGCATTGCATGCATTTTTTTCCACATACATGGCACCAGGTTCTAGGAGGTTAAGTCTCTTCAGATCCGTCTCCATGTGTTTGGTTCTCACCAGACTTTGTGTTTAATCTTCATGGGCATTTGTGTTCAGCATCTATAAGTCATACCGGAGACTCTGAACTGAGCTGAGAATCTCTGGTATTAAATCACTTCAGCAGTGTTTAGGCTCATTGTCCTGCTGGAAGGTGGACCTACTTCTTCATCTCAAATCTGTCTCTCAAGCATTTCACTGCATTTGGCTCCATCCATCTTCCCATCAACTTTGACCAACTTCCCGGTCCCTGCTGAAGAGAAGCACCCCCAGAGCATGATGCTGCCACCACCATATTTGACTGTGAGGATGTAGCTCTCAGCATGAGGAGGATTTAAGTTTGTCTTGGAAATGGTGTCCTTCACGACCAAAACATTCATGTTTGTGGAAGAAAATACCATCCAATTTGATGTTTACTTCCTTGCCCACTAGTATATTTTATATTATAAGGTTTTATGGACAAGGACTCCCTCAGATCAGAACTGCTCAGCTCTGTCAGGATCATCTTTTTTGGTCACCTTTCCGACTAGATTAGTCCCCTTCTAGAGCAGATCAAGTGTTTGAATGGACTGACACTCACAGTTCACCTGTAGTCAATTTAACCATTATGAGGCTTCTATGTAGTGGTTGTGGCTTCAAAACAAAGAAAGTTAATATATGCACACACAACTTTTTAGTTTTATTTATTTTTAGAACAAATTAAAAAAATCTCACATTTAACTTTCTTAATCTGAAGTATTTTTGGAAGACTGATAAGTTATAGTTAAATAAATTCTAGGTATAAAATAATGAAACAACTCACCCTTCTAAAACCTCTGCCTGGTATGGGATTTCAAGTTTGGAGTAACTCTTTTCTTTTGCTTTAACAGTTATTTTACCAGAGAACTGATATGGTCTTTTAGCTCTTGAGGCTGTAAAAAAAAAAAAGATAAAGCAGATAAGTGTGCAAAAAAATACAAGCAGGAAGTTGAGCAATACCAAATCAGAAACGTCAAGAACATGTTTGACTGAATGAAGCAGCACTGAAACTTCTAGTGAAGTACCAAATGTTCCACAGGACCACATCCAAACTTTTTTCAAAGAATTTTTGATCACTGCCGAGCAGGAAACTGACATCATGCTGCATTTCCTTCTGAAGAAATTATAAACACCGTAACCCACTGACAAACAGTTTTAGTTTTTTTTTTTACCTTGTACCTTTTCTGAATCCTGAATATTTTGTTGGAAAAATACTCATTGTTCCAAATGGTATGTCCGAATAAAAAGGATTCAGCTGGATCTCTTGTTAAAACTTTATTTTTGATTTTCTGACTCCAATCAGGTTCATTCAGCGCTCAGCAGCACAGGCCTCAGCGTACAACCTTGGGCCAAATCAAAACCAACACGGGAGCTCTGCTCTGTGCAGACACTCTGCAAAACACTGACAACTTCTTTCTACCATCATAATGAATTGGCCTTATAATGTACATCTCTTCCTGGTTACACCCCAGGAGGTGTTACCTTTTACGTCAGACGTCAAAATGTCACCCAGGGGTGTCAAACTCCAGTCCTCGAAGGCCGCTATCCTGCATGTTTTAGAGGTTTTCCAGCTCCAACACACCTGATTCAGTGATTGAATTAACTCTTCAAATTGGGCAGAAGCCTGTTAATTACCCAGCGATCAAAATCTGGTGTGTTGGAGCAAGAAAACCTCTAAAACATGCAGGATAGCGGCCCTCGAGGACAGGAGTTTGACACCCCTGGTTTAGGCTAAGAGAAAGAACACATGATAACACACCAACTCTTTGTCAGCTTCAACCTTACAGACTGAAATGATCAGAAAGTATAAAATACAAAACTGAATCTAAAATTCAATTAATCAGTTATAAAATTTCTTCAATTTTATCATTAAAAACACAAGACAATGTTAAGGTTTTCATTGACACTTGTAACTCTTACAGCTCTTATAAGCACACTGTATCAATGCTTGACCAAAGTTATAGAGGTTCTGTGAACTACATAAAAAAGGGAAAAAAAATAGTTGTGGACAAAGATCTGGGAAATACAGTGTACTTTAACTACCTCCTACAACTGGTGGTACTTTGGTTGGAAAAACATTATCTGCTTTTTCATGACATCTAACAAAAGTCTAAATTCAGTGCTACACCTGCACTGTGCTGGAAGTAACAGCAGATCATGGATACATATTCTGGTCCTGCCTGTCTATACAACACTTCTAGATAAAAGTAAGGAAAATAATCTCAAAAACACAGAGCTTTAATGTCACTTCATTTACTTCAATGTAATTGGCTACATTCACACCGCAGGTCTTAATGCTCAGTTCCGATTTTTTGAAAAAATCCGATCTTTTTGTGTGAAYGTTCACATTACATTTTAAATGTGACCTGCATCAGACCCCTGTGTGAACGCTACACAGCACTGATGTGACACGCATGCGCAGTAAAAGACGTGACGTCTCATCAGCCGGCTTGTTTGTTTACAGAGCTAGCACGGATGCTACATTTTGCGCATCGAATCGGAAGATGTTGTTTAATCTCAGAGCCAATTAAATAATTATCTGACCTGCTTGTTTAGTTCAGTGTTTATATCTGAACCTGCCTCTGACCGGATGCTCCAGTGAAGCTTTTTTTTTTTTGAACGAAACTACAAGCTGGAAAAAAGTATCGATCGAGTAGCTAACTTTAGGATCGATACTCTCCGCGACCCAGGCTGGACATGTTATTATCAAACTATCTACGTGGAAAATGAAAAGTAAAAAGATGAAGCAACTGGACTTGTGTTTTGGAGCTGTAAACACATGGAGCTGCAGATTTAAACAGCGAGACTTGAGGTTAGTGTCTTATCGATCCTTCACCCCCTCCTCCTGATGAAAAAGTCAGATGAATGTGACATGAGCGTTCACACTGCAGTCACTTTGAAAACATCAGATATGTATCCGATTTAAAACCACACACTGAAACGGCCTGGGTCGGATTTGAAAAAATCTGATTTTTCACGTTCAGACTGTCATAAAAAAATCGGATATGGGTCAGATGTGTCAAAAAAATCGGATTTGGGTCGGATTTGCCTGCAGTGTGAACGTAGCCTTTGAGATATTTTTAGACAAACCAACAACAGATGATTTTTAACTTCTGACAGTTCTTGTTATCTGATAAAAAGGCCAAAACAAAATGTAAAGAAAGTAGAGTGTTTTCTCAATATAGAATAGAATAGAAATAGCCTTTATTATCCAACTGAGGGGAAATTCAGGTGTCACAGCAGCATCAGTACAGAGGTTCACATGCTAGTTATTTTACAAACTAGAGATAGTACACACAAAACAAAATTAACACTGACTAGCCATGACATGACTACTAATAATAAAAAATATAACAAAGAATTGTGCGAATTGTGCAAGGATAGAAAAAGACATGTTTCTTTTAGTTAGTAGACTATCTACTATCTACTACTATTAGGAATCTGAATTTTCCTATTTTCAGTGCAAAATAATCTCAGACTATTACTGTAAAGTAGGAATGCACGATATAAACGATATACGGTAGAAACGATATAAATTTGTCCTATAGAGATCTGTAGTACCGGCCAACCGCGCAATTCTTTTTGATGACTTAACCGGCTGGAGTCAAAACAGAGGAAGCGTGGCTGAGAGCGCAAATGAAGAGGGGGGAAAAAACAAAAAACATAACTTATCCGGACCACTGTTTACATGTTTACGTGACGGCGCGCCTGCAGCGGGAGGAGAGCGCGCAGCGGCACAGGGTGAAGCAGCGAGGCTGAGAGCGCAAATAAAGAGGGGGGAAAAAACCCATAACTTATCCAGACCTGGTTCAGGTGTGCGAAAATGAACGCCGAACTATTTAAGTGACGGCGCGTCCTCCGGTCGGTTGCCAAATGACCACACTGCCTGCTGCGGGAGGAGCGCGCGCCGCAGCACATGGTAACGCAGCGAGGTGACAGTCAGTGCAGGTGAAGTCAGTGCTCCAGCAGGACGCACAAAAGCTCGCTGAGTCTGGACCTCGTTTCTCCTGCGGTTATAGCACAATACTGTCTCCTTGTACAGCAGGGAAGCTCTGTGGGAAAGGCTGACAGTCAGACTGTCTTTACAAAAAAAAAAAGGCATAAACGGGATGATTGTCATCCCGCCGAAGCACACACAGATTAAACGTGTGGAGGGCAGAAAAAATAATCTGCAAATTGTGTAGAAAGGAATAAATACAAGCAATTTGTTTTACCACCTTAAAAACGAAGCAGGTGATTCCAAACACAACATCCAATGGATGCAGATACGTATATATTACATTAAAGTTGCATGAGTGTGTGTGATATATATATATATATTTGATTTAACCAGGTAGGTCTCCCTTAAATTTAGATTTTTATGGGAGACTTAATAGTGTCCCTTAAAAAAGGAGATTTTAAGGTCTAAATTTTTTTACCTATACATATTTATACATTCCACTCAATTAATATGTGATTTATTTATTTTCTGTTATAAGTTTTATATTGTGATATACAGTATATCATCACCGCCACCCATCATAATGTATATCGTGATATGAATTTTTTGCCATATCGCACATTCCTACTGTAAAGTATCACTATTAACTGTAAGTATCACTATTACTGTAAAGTATCACAGTAAATAAAAAGGTAAAAACTCAAAACAGAACACTCACCATCAAAACTGATGCTCGCGACTTTCGTGTATCTACTTTCTCCAGCTTTGAGCGTGACAGCTTTAAAGTCGACTGTGATGGCTTCATTTGACGGAGTTGTGCGTACACTCTGAAGAGCACAAACAGAACAACTGATCACCTACAGCTCAGGAGAAGACTTGCAGAACAAGAGCTTCAGGAGCCTGAAGGGGACACGTACTGTGATTGGTACATCTTTTGGTCCTGAATTTAAAAGATGAAGATTCAGCAGCTTTGGACGATCTGTAACGTGAGGAGAGAAGCTCAGTCAGAAGTTTTTGCTTCAAATATTAAGCAGATTAAATGAACAGGGCATACCTTGTGATCGAAGTGTACCAAAGTCAAGCATCTCTGTGGATGAGTATATACCAGGAGCTGCAGTCAATCATTAAAACAGAAATCTTAATATACAGTAATCCAGGAGGTAAATGTAAAAACGATCACTCGATAAGGGGTTTAATGGCACACCTGATGTGACCTCCACCTCTACGGGGATGACGACGTACTGGTCCTCGTTTGCAGCGTTGGTTTTGATTCTGATGAAAGCCGTGTGGTTGTCCACGTCTCTTGAAGAGAAGATGGCTCTCATCACTCCTTTTGTCTCAAATGGAGGAATCTCCTGGGGGAGGGGGGGGGGCATGACTGCCTTTAGTCATTTCATCTTCCTCAAGATGAGACCTGATATAAAAACATTAACAAGATGGACTCACCCATAACTTTACAATGCCTCCTTGTTGGCCTGTGGGAAGCTCCAGATGCAGATCCCCACCACTGGAGTACATCTCAACAACCTGGAGCAAAACAAACTGATTAATAAGTGTGTGCAGTTTCACGACAACAACGGCAAACCTGTTCAACTTACCTGTAAAGGTTCACTGAATGGGTTGTGAATGTTTATAAGAGGTGAGAAGCTGCTGTTTACTGGGACCCGAGCCCCAATAAAGGGCCGCAGTCTGTAGGGATTTGGAACACCGACCCCAAAAACCTGTAGGGCCAACATTAAAATTGCAGCGTTAATTAAAATGGTCACAGCCTTCCAGACCAGCAGGTGTGTGTTTGGTTTGTACCTGGTATGTAAACATTCCATGATGGGAGGTGTTTATAAACAAAGTGTTTTCTACATTCCCAACCACACGAGCGAGGAACACCACATCAAACGACGTGTTCCCTCCTGGTGGGATTATCTGGTAAAACACAAGAGCGATAAATGTTACGAAACATTTGCTGCCAATCAAAGACGATACACAAAACCCCCAAAAAGCAGAACTTTTACGAGTAAGGGGTCTCTGCAGTAGGTTTTGTCCTGTGGGTGGAGACGACCCTACTCGTGATTGGCGGAGGTTTCGATGTGGGCGGAGATGGCCCAAGAGATGTGATTGGTCAGATTGACAGTGTGGTTTGAGGAGGCTGGAGGCAGCGGGGAGTAGCTTGATCGAGTCGGGCAGGAAGCAACGTTTTTTAAGATTAATTTTAGTCATAACCTGAGAAAGGAAAATGCTAGCTGCACGAAATTTGAACGTCATACATGTGAAAGGATGTAGGGGTACCAGCATCAAGTACTCATACTCGTAAAAGCCGGCCGATACTCTTAACCGATACCGCTTTTGTCCCCTCCTGTGCTGCGCTGCAGCACAAAGGGTAAACAACAATCCATACCAGGCGGTGGCGCTAACGCACTGACAAGTTATTTCCAACCGCACCCCCGAATAACAGAAGAAGAATGATGACGGTAGAAGAAGAAGTAACATGTCGGCAGTTTGGAGATATTTTAAGATCGGCACGGAGGACACTAAACAAGCAGACTGTCTGCTGTGCTCTGCTAACTGTCAAGAGGAGGAGAGAAAGTTGGATGTTTTAACACCAGCAATTTGATTTAACATTTGAAGACCAGACATGACAAAGAATTCAAACAGTTTGCTGCTGCTAGCAGTAGCCTTCATAAACAGCACTATGCTGCAGTTGTTGCAGTAACTTCAATGCTGTTTTTTCTTTCTTGTAGAACAAACTAAGACATAAGCAGAATATGGAAGGAAGTTTGTTGTAAAMRCWTTTTATTTTTCMCTVTGGTTCTTCTGAGATTTTGTTTTAGTTGTTCCATTTAAGTTTGAACTGAAATTTACTGCACTTTATTACTATTAGTCATTTTTTTGTTAACAGTTTAAGACTGAAGCAGAGTAAACTTCTATAGATGTGCTGCTAAAATTTACGTTATAGTTTACATTTTAATTCAAATTTGGTAGATGCATGTTGAGGAAAATGTATAAAAATAACTTATATTTTTAATGTATGCAACAGCATTTGTTTTGCAGTATTTGTATTGTTAATACGTTCGGAGGGAGTGTGGCCTTATAAAAAAGAGCCTGTTTGAAATAAAATAAATGGTTTCAAAAGTTATGGTGTGATATATATACCAACTTATCTACTTGTCAGAGTTTGCACTACCTTTTTATTGTCAAACATAATATTTACCCATCAATTTTTGCATGATAAATGCATTTCATTATCATTCTGTTTAATATTCAACAAGTTGAACAGATAATCCACACGAACCCCGCTACTTGGTATCGGTRTCGGTGAGTACCTAAACTAAAGTACTCGTACTTGTACTCAGTCTTGAAAAAACTGGTATTGGGACACCCCTAAAAGGATGTGTAACAATATGGCTTGGTTAAAACATCCCTAAGCAGCCTGTAAAAAGATAGCTAAAAATCATTATCTTTTTATAGGCTGTTTAGGGGTGTTTTGACCGAGCCATATTGTTACACATCCATTCACATGTATGACGTTCAAGTTTCGTGCAGCTAGCATTTTCCTTTCTCAAGTTATGACTAAAATTAATCTAAAAAAAGTTACTTCCTGCCCAACTCAACCAAGCTATTCCCCGCTGCCTCCAGCCTCAAACCCCACAGTCAATCCCACCAATCACATCCCTTGGGCCATCTCCGCCACATCAACACCTCCGCYAATCACGAGTAGGGCCATCTCCGCCCACATTAAGACCTCGGCCAATGACGATTTGGGCCGTCTCCACCCATAGGACAACAAGTTCTGCAGAGACCCCTACTTGACTTTTACATCCAAAACAACTAAAAAAATCCACTGTTTTAAAAACACAACAGATACRAAATTAAATTCAACACTTAGTGTTGATTGTGGTTTCATATACCGGGATTCTTTTTTTTGTGTTGAGTTCCACGAAATAATTCCTAATATTTAATGTAAAAATAAAACTTTTCAAATAAACACACATCTTAGTCTAGTTAACAGATTTTGTGGTGCCACCACGGCAGCTGAAAAAACTCCAAGTGTACAAACGGTCGAGGTGACGAAAGGCCAGGTGAATCATAAACATTGCCTTCAGCAGGAGAAACAAACTGCTTGCCTGATGCAAATATTGAAACAAAAAAACAAACAAAACAAAAAAGATAACGTAACGTTTCAGGTAGAAGCTTTCTTCAAACAGAGAGGATACAAACTAAAAACAGAAGCTGCGCATTTCGTAAACAAAACGAAAGGAAATAAGAACAGGTACACAGCAGACGTTCAGACACTGACAAATGTTTGGTGAGTTCTGATGCAACATGTCTGGACCATATCACTGCACAGAACTGAGAAAAAGACCATTAGTAACTAAAGACTAAAAATAAAAATAAAAAACACTAAGGGCTCAAAATGTAAAGTAATCAAACAAAAAAAGCAACAGGGACGTGTTAAAAAAGCTGCATGTAAAAAACAAACTAATGCTGAAAATCATATGCATATTAGATGTCAAATGTTTCTTTGTCACTTCCTCTTTTTTTTYYTTTTTTTTTACATAAGTGTGAAAACCGCTGTGTACAAGAGGTGCCAGAACAAACTGTAAAACCACTTAGCATCATGACTAAAAAAGTGATTCTGCTGAATTCTGTACTTTAAATTGAAAAACAGCTTAATTCCCAACAGAAAACTAAAGTAGTAAAAGAAAAAACCTATCACTTCAAGACTTCAACAAAGATAAGTAACCATAAATATGTGACTGTAATTACTTTAGTGATTACCGTAATAGAAAGAGATTATTTTTCACTTTTAGACTAATTTCAAAATGGACCAGTCTATCTGAATTATTTCTACTTCAGGTGGTAATATTGTTTTACCAACAGTAAAAGAAGGTATTTGAAAGATTTATGGGTGTAAATTTAAACTCATTTGAATTATTTAAATTAAAAAAGGTTGCAGGTCTAAACAACCACACAGTGCTTATTAGCAGCACAGGACAAAATCTTATGAAGTTTAATAGGTCAGATAAAAAAAAAAAAACATAAAAAGCACCAGGAGTCAGACCTTAACATTTAAAAAGATAAATTACATATGTTAGGATTTCACCTGCAGTGTCATATACCAACACTATTTGCATGGACATAATAGACCAACTGTCCCTGTCTTCTCTTGTTGTTGTGAACAGAAACCTGTAGGACCTGGTTTTACTGAAGCTGCCATGTTGTAGTTTTGGAACCAGAGTCTGGGTAATAACGATGTGGGGCCTTTCTAATCATAAAATAATTAATTACAACTAAAGGTTTTGAACATACAAGGTAAGTGCTATTTAGGTCAACAAGAGTCAACACCTGAAAACATTATCTAAGGTCTGTTTTTATTTTGTAACAAGTGCAACACCTTGTTTGTTTACTTGAAGTGGGCGGGGCATAAAACTGGCCCTGTTCCAAGTTCAGCTTCTGGATTTAAATTTGATGCTTACTTAATTTGTATCTTTGGTTTGTCCACTTTGGCAGAAGCAGAACAATTAACTTACAATCACTTCTTTTTGTTTTAATATGTTCTAGGGCTGCAACTAACGATTATTTTAATAATCGATTAATCTGTTGATTATTTTTTCGATTAATTGATTAATCGGCCAAATCATTGAAACGTTTAATTACATGAATATGAGTAGATATAAATTAAGTTAACTCCTTAAGGATGCAAGTTATTGATAATGAATTAATCTGAAGTTGATTTATCTAATAGATTGATTAACAGCCTTTTTTTTTTTTAAAATCTGAGTTTTCTCTTGAATCAAGAGGGGCTTCCCATAAAATCAAGGATTTTTTAAATATTCTCATGAATTAAAAAACAGAAGCACATAATACATATTTGAACAATTTATTTTGCCAGCTGTATTAAATACTGACTGAAAAAAAATGTGTATTTCTCCTATTTGAAACACAACAGAAATTTAATAGGTTGCTGAATGAGGAAAATAGATTAAAATAATAAAATATGATTTTTAGTTGTAAAACTATTATTAATTTATTATAATTAGAATTTATTTACATTTAACATTTTTTTCTCCAATTCTTTATTTTTGTTTCATTCTTGTTGGTTCTGTTTGACTAAAACATTGTTTGACCCTAGGGTTGCCACAAGCAATTATTTTTATAATCACAGATTATTTTTTCGATTAGTCGACTATTCGGACCATACGTTAATTGAATATAAAACATAGAGCTTATCGTGCCAGAATGCAGCTGCTATTATATAACCATGGTTAGATTTTAGCTTTATCCTAACTAAAAATAATTGCTGTGGAAGGCAAGTTCTGCTCTGCAGATATTGCACAGGTTTCTCTTTCATTTTCTTAAAATGATCCCACACTTTTGAGCTCTGTTGGCAGTAGGGCTGCCACGATTAATCGATTAATCGACGACTAATCGATTATTAAAATAATCGATGATTAATTTAATAATCGATTAATCGTTTTCTTTTTTTGTTCTTTACTTTGTTTTTCTCTCCAAACTGCTTTGACACCTTCCACTGCCACATCTGCCTTTCTGTCCTTGACACACATGCACAGTAGTGGTAACTGGGGTAGGTCTGGACGTCACAAGACATTATACAGACAGGCTCTGGTATCATGGCTACCTGACAACGGAGCTCAAAAGTGTGGGATCATTTTAAGAAAATGAAAGAGAAATGTGCAGTGCAATATCTGCAGAGCAGAACTTGTCTTCCACAGCAATTATTTTTAGTTAGCATATAGCTAAAATATAACCATGGTTATACAATAGCAGCTGCATTCTGACGTGATAAGCTGTATGTTTTATATTCAATTAACGTATGAYCCGATTAGTCGACTAATCGAATAAATAATCGGTGATTAATCGATTATTAAAATAATTGTTTGTGGCAGCCCTAGTTGGCAGGTAGCCATGATACTAGAGCCTGTCTGTATAATGTCTTGTGACGTCCAGACCTACCCCAGTTACCACTACTGTGCATGTGTGTCAAGGACAGAAAGGCAGATGTGGCAGTGGAAGGTGTCAAAGCAGTTTGGAGAGAAAAACAAAGTAAAGAACAAAAAAAGAAAACAATTAATCGATTATTAAATTAGTCATCGATTATTTTAATAATTGATTAGTCGTCGATTAATCGATTAATCGTTGGAGTCCTAATATGTTCAAACATTTTATAACTGCTTGACTGAGATGCAGTATTAATTTAACATCTGAGGGGTTAAAGCAACAAATTTGTGTTATTTTAGACAGTTTTATTGGCCAACGTATTAAATAGGGTAAATTCCCTATTCTGTTATTTTTAAACGTGCTGCCTTTGGGATCAATTTCCAGAATGTTTAACATTTCCTTTCACGGTTATGCAGATGACATCCAAATATACCTTTGTATTTCCCTTTTGAAATGGATATCACCGTTTAACTGTCTGCAACATGTCAAAGACTGGTTAACTCTGAATTGTTCGACACTGAACACAAAACTGAAACGGTCCCAATGAGTTACCTGGTATCCTTAACCCTCTTGCTCCTAAAACTATCAAGAACCTTAGATTGTTTTAAAGGAGCACTTTTAAAAGAGAAGCAAGTATCCACACTTGTTAAAACTAGTTTTAATCAGTTTTTAAACAGCCAAAGAGAAATTTTACAGTCCTCAAAGCACTTATCCAAGTCTTGACTGCAACTCTTTATATGTTGGTCTAGATTAGGGCTTCACAATACCAGAAACCCTGTGATGTGTAACAACGGTGCTTAATTTTGCGATGATGATATGACTTGCAATAAATTAACAAATACTGAAGAATGCAGTGTTGATGTCTTTCTGCTCTGAGTTCAGAGAGAAAAAAACGAATCATTTCCATTCCAACATGACTGCTTTGTTTTTTAAAAGTGAAACTAGACAGCTGCTCTATTAGCAGTAAAACAACAAACAGAATGCAAAACAGTTTCTTAATGACTTTTAAACTAAGAAGACTTTAGAAATAGAAATTATTTTTAATAATATATTACCGTATAGTGCGGTAATATATTACAATATATCATCTGAAATGATTCAAATGTTATGATTTGGTTGAATATAGTATTTTACAAGTCATGTATAAAGTCCATAAAATATTACCTTCAAATATTYAACTAAAATTTGTTAAAATAGAGTCACTATAACCTTAAAAGAATGGAGATTTTTATATAACCTCTAGTCTGAAGGAGCACTGCACTGTAACTCAGTGAATAAACTTAAACAATTATTTCACACAGTTTTAGTGAAGGAACTGACAATACAGAAACACGGGTATTTATGTASTTAATGCTCTAAAAAGTTTTGCAGGTTTTTATGTACCAAGATATTTAGATGTCAGAATATCCTCAGCATCTGAGCTCAAAACACACGAAGCAGCAAGAAAACAACAGTTCTAATATTAGTGGTGAAACAGCAGCAAAGCATCCTTCAATGAGAAAAACATTCAAGACAACAACATATCCTGCAGGGAAGGGAACCTCAGTGAACATAATTAGTTTTACGAGAAACACACCTATGTCTAGTCCGTCCTACTACAGGATTCCTCACATACCAGCAAAAAGCTTTGATCTCCAAACACTTTGTTTTACAAAAATAAAGATAAACAGATGAATGCACAAGTGTTTTATGGCTGCTGGTTTGTGTCAAACAGCAAGAACCCATTAGAAAAAAAATCAATAAACATTTTTTTAACTCGTCTCTCTGGAGCAGAGTTATTTTGAATCAGATGTCCGGGAACACTGCATCCTGTTTTACTGTGTTTTCTTACCATGTTTTTAAAGCTTGTACACTGCACCAGATCATATAAATCACCTGATTATGTTGTCACTTTCATCATTTAATTTGCTTAATACACCCTAATTAACCACTTTTCTCATTGTCTCGAATGGGTGTGTTTCCACCAAACCGGTTCCAGGCCTAAACCAGGAGGACCATAGCTTTTATTTGACTGCCAAAAGACATGCACTGAAAAACCAACGTTATATATAGTAGCAGCAACATTGTTTCCAAACAAGAACCACTTTTCCAGAGGCTGCAGGTGGACTCACAAGGACAAAAGACCAATTAAACTGCTGTCAGCGCCATGTTCAAACTGTCATGGTTTGTCAGGCATTTAGGTCCTGTCTACAGTAATCAGAACACGGTTTTAAAAAGATACACTTGATGTTCTCTGTGCTTTAAAAAACCCCACAAAAATAAAACAGGAATTAACATGCTAAACTACAGCTTCCCCTCAATTATTAACAATTATCTCACACAATGAAAAGTTATATGGCGATAGGATCAAGAAAAGGCAAGGCAGACGCTAAACAATGGCAGAAATGACTCTTTATGTTTGAGTTTCTTAGTGATAGTACATAGAGTAAGGCTTCTAAAAAAACTATTGAATAGATCACACGACACTTTATTTGCACCACTCATGTTTGAATATCCAACCAACTGAGAAACTTGGTGAGATTTGTTAACTTTACACTGTATTTTTAAGTCAGGAGATTTTTTCAGTTCAATGTCATCTTGTATTTTGAACAAGTTTTGTCCAAATGAACAAAAACAAACATTTTTTGGTAAGGGTACATAAGGCCCTTTAGGTTATACACTTCATTAGATTAAACCAAACCGTGTACTTTACCAAGTTCATGTACACGTATACTCCTCTTTACATAAAAACATCTGTATGCAGGAAAAAGCTGCTGAATGTGTGGTGTTGAGTGGTGGGAAACGACGATGCTTGTTAAGTGCAAAAAAAATTTCAGTCGAAATAAATATTTTTTGCTTGAATCAATGTTTGATGATAAGGACAAAGTTCCACTCAGTCTAGATGGCTGAATGAGAACATTTGTATTTAGTATATATTATATATATTAAATACACTTATTAAATCACATTTTTCTTGAGATTTTTCACCATTTTATTGTAAAGGTTGCAGATAACCAGATTTTGTCAAGAAGTTGTCTGCCAGACAACCTGGAAAATTAACATTTACCTACCCCTGCTTTTTATGTTTTTATTTTAGACTGATGTATGACCTGCTATGTTAGCATTGCCTGATAGGACGTCTGCTTTTGTTTCAGCTTCTGGGAGAATTATTGTTGGTTTAAAATAAGTGGGAATTTTAAAAAATCAGCTGTTTTACCAACCCATGTGAATCCTGTTACACCTCTGTTTGTAGGAATAACAAGAGAAAGAATGTAATGTGTGGTGGAGAATATCATGAAAGAGGTGTACGTGATTTTGGAGGTGGTTCTAATACTGTGCTAAAATAAAATGATTCTTATTAGTCGATTTTTTTAAATGAACCAAACCTGGCTCTAGCACTGGAAGCACCTGGAAAACACTGTAACCATAAAAAAACTCAATCTTCAAATACCTACAAGTCTAAATGTGTTACTTGTGTCAAGATTTGTCATACTGCTGTCAGAATTTATGATCTCCTGCTTTCTGTAGACACAGTTAACGTCAACAACAAAAAAGAAAATGCTGTGACAAGAAGTGTTCATAGACTAAGATTTAACTTGGCTCTATAACACAAATTATTTGTTACACAACTGTAACAGATTAATTGCTCCTATTTGTCAAACAAAAATTCTAAATAGAAAAATAAATAAATAAAAAAGGATAGCCACTTACCCTATTCTGGAAAAAGGAGGCGTGAAAATGTGCTGTTGTTGCTGATATTGATATTAAACTAATTTCTTCTGCACTAGGATTATGTAAATAAACTTTCTCCATTTTTGGCATTCCAACAGGCCTGTAGGAGGAGAAAAGAACAGCATGGAAACATTACTGTATGAGAGTCAAATCAACTAGTTTTTATACACAAAACTGGCAATAAGATGGAAGAATCTGTAGACCAATCGATGAACATTACGAGGAGTTTAAAATCAAATAAACAATAACAGGGGTCATGAGGTTTGAACTTTCCTTTACAGAGATTTCTAAAGTAAAATACCAGACTTAACTCTGACAATGGACAGCTCTGCCCACATTGTTAATCTGACATTCAAAGCACACCATAAATCCTCTGATTTCCTGTCTCCCTTTCATATCAGCCTGTGGTCGATGTGGAAAAAGGATGATATGAAAATCAAGTCGTGATGTAAAACCCCTTTGTGTTTTTATGGTTCTCGTTGCTCCACAAATCATGTAGTCCAGTTATCTTCCTCTATTGTACTTGAACTGTTGGAGTCAKCTCTGTCTGTTAGAAAAATTTCACCTAATACATTTTAATGGCCCTATCAAAAAGCAATTATTGGCCCTACACCCACACTTCAACTGAAGTTAACCTAATTAAAGATGGATTAATTTGGTGATATATCATGAGACAGGGGTCACGATATGATATATCACATTGCAACACTAGGCGAGGCGATATATTGCCCTTTGTTTCTCCAAAAGATGCTAATTTTAATAAAAAAAAAAACGCTATATAAAAACCACACAATGAATTAATGCAGAAAATCTAATTAAATTCAGTTTATTTTTATGCAATCAGAAGAACACTGAACAACAATGAGAACTGAATCTGTGTTTCACGCTTCATCTTAAAACAGCTACATTTTTGACTGCTGACAAATAGCAGTCGGAGGCTAAAATACTGTACAACACAAAAATGAACCCCTGGCATCAAAGTTTATTAAATTAAAAATCGATAAAGGGCTTTTGAAAATCAATACAGTATCAGGAAATGAAATAATGTGATATTTCAGAGCATCAATATTTTTTTACACCCACTGAGAGCTAGCAAATCATGTGAGATTTTTGTTAAATCTTTAGCATTAACTGTTGGGAGTCAAYCCTGTGTTTCTGTTAGTAAAATATCTCATGTACTTTTGTGTACTAAACTTTCAAAATTTAATCAATGTATTAACCTCGACAAGTGATAAACCTTTAGACTGACCTCAACTAACACCAAAAAGTCTACAACTCAGCCAGTTCGACAGAAAATTAAACTTTGATGTGGTTGTAGCTGACTGTCTTTCATAAACACATGCTTTGAGTACAAAAATCATATGAAATCTACCTTTACGTGAAATAGTAATTTTTATTTTCAAGGTTTGATCAAAACTCTAAACCTCTGGCAGCGGGTGATGTGCATTCATTTAAGGAATGCTGGTCCTTAAAAATTATTATTTTTTATTTTTAAACAATCAAAATATTCAGAAACAATGAGCTGGATTGTTGTTAAAAAAATAACGGTCAGTGTGGGATGGGTCAAAGTAGCTATATGTCTGAGACTGACCCTGGGTATGTAAAGTGTTGTTACACATCGCAGGTATGCACCCACTGTCGACATGAAACATGATCCACATGGTCCGGTGTGGGTGTAGCTGGTACTAGAGCTTAACAACTCTATTACATTACACAGRTTGACATAGAATATTGGTAAGGATCCAAATATTCCTCAAGGTAGATTTTATTTGTCACGTCATTAATATATGACTTCTTACTGACTGAGCACATTTGTGAACTATTCACTCAACAACTCAGAAAAGGTCAAACARAGTTAACATGAATGAAGACCACATYGAAACAAGAGCAGAGCTGTGAAGAGGAATGAGACACTCACTGTTCATGAAAGTCCAACATTGGAGGTTCAAACCGTATAGGTCGGCAGTTCCCACGGTGCGGGGACGTGCTGCAAAACACAGGAAGGTGTGACAGCAGCAGGAGCAGGCAGGACAAAAAAGAATCCATGTTTGTGTTCATTTCAGACATCTGAGAGGCTAAAGCTCCAGCTTCGGCAACACCATTTGTTTTAATTCATTTAGAACGGAAAGCCAAACCCTGGACCACTCCCATTTGATGAGAACTTTATCAATCATTAAAATCCTTATGAAAACATAAATAATTTAAAAATGCAGGAGGGAATAAGAAAAGGGATCTCAGACTGTGACCTTCAGATTGTCGAGCTTCTTTCTCACAAGCATCAATGTTTGAGCACTGGTTGCCACCTGCCTGTACAACTCACCAAACCTGTTCAACAACAGGTGTCTCCACACAATAAACTGAAGCTGATCCAGAAAGGCAACTCCTCTTTGGCAGAAGTGAAATACAACAGAAACATGTTGTGAGCCTTTATGTAAATTTCATGCAAAGAGAAGTTCATCAGTAACGCAGACGTGGCACTCTGCAGAGCTTTGACTCATAACACCTATGAGTGGGAGGATATCAAATACACACACACACACACAAAAATAAATAAATACGCAAACAGATGAAACCAAGCTATACTAGTGATAGCATTTTGTTAGTATTTTAAACAGCACCCACGGGATCAATTACACCTTTTTACTACGAAGCTTTTGTGTACAGGAGCAGACAATAGTCACGTTACAACACTCTGACAGTTAGACTGGTCATCAGGAGGATGGGTTATCTCCCACGGGGGCGCTCTGTCAGGTTACAGTTAACCACCAGGATATTCTGTCACCAAACACCTGCTGACAAAAGTTCTGTAAGATGAAGAGACTCAAATGGGTCCCCGCTGTGAATACTACCTATCGATTACATGTAATGTGTASGGGTGGAAGGCAGAACTTATTTTAGATTCATTTCATTGTGAACATGGAAAATTTTGAATTGGTTTTCTAAATGTCAAAAATCAGTTTCTTTATTCTGTGCTAGCACTGAGAGATTACATGCTGTGTGGTGCAGACTGGTAAWGTTACTGTMGSTTCTTGGCAGTAGAAACATGTTGMAGTAAAGCTGAGCATTTCCACATTTTTATCAACTTTTTTGTTGATCTCTGAAGAAAACATGTCTCTAAAATATAGCTGAAGTCATCAAAAATAATGACTTTACAGTTGATTTGTGTTTAAATTTACAGTGATAAACAAGCTTTTTTATGTTATATTTAATAGTTAGTATCCAGGCTAATTGTTGATCAACAGCCTGGTTAATAGTTTTGTTTTTGCTTTTTTGTTTTTTTTTACAAAGTACCATATAGTGCGATAGGAGGCTCCGAGGTAAAGGAGCTGTCCTGTAACTGGTGGATTGCCAGTTTGAATCTCTGCTCTGTCCATCTCAGCAGCTGTGTCGCTTTGGAGTCTTTGGATTTGATAAAGCGCTATATAAGTTCAAGCTATTTACCATATTATTGTGCCCTAGAGTTGGACAAAATCATATAACGTACAATTAACAGTCAGAAAAACTGTTACAAATTAATATTTGGCCCTTTTCGGATTACTGTAATTAGTGCCGCGTAGGGGTCGACCGATACATGTCAACTTCAGCTGGTTTAAATGCATTTTTTGTCCGGTGTAAAAAACGGGTGTAGATTGAGGCAGAGCTGCTCTGTGTGTGTGTGTGTGTGTGTGTG